GTGCATCACTTTGATTGTTTTACAAGTATTAAGGCTCCCTTGCAACCCAGGAATAAATTCCATTTGATCCTGTGAATGAGTTTTTTACTCTGTTGTTGGAATCAGTTTGCTAATATTTTATTGAGAATTTTTGCATCCATGTTCATCAGTGATATTGACCTGTAGTTCAATTTTCAATGGAGTCTTTATCCAGTTTTGGTATCAAGGTAAAACTGTCCCCATAGAATGAATTCGGAAGTTTTCCTTCCTTTTCTATTATTTGGGAATAATTTAAGAATAAGAATTAACTCTTCTTTAAGTGTTTGATAGTATTTGACTGAATATATCTGGCCTTAGGTGTTTCTTTTTTGGCAGTTTTTTGATTACGGATTCAATTTCTTTGTGGATTATTGGTTTGTACAAGTTTTCTATATCTTCCAGTTTCAGTTCAGGTAGTTTATATGCTTCTAAGAACTATTCCATGTCTTCTAGGTTGTCCAATTTCTTAGCATATAATTTTTCATAGTATTCTCTTATAATTGTTTGTATTTCTGTGGTGTTGGTTGTTATTTCTCCTGTCTCATTTGTGACTTTATTTATTGGGTTCTTTTCTTTTTCTTTCTTTTTTTTTTTTTTTGGTAAATCTGTCCAGAGATTTATCAATTTAAAATTTTTTTCAAAGAATCAGCTCTCTGTTTCATAGTATTTTCTATAAATTTTTCAGTTCCTTCATCATTAATTCTAATATAATCTTTATTATTTTCTCCTTCTGCTGGCTTTAGGCTTCGTTTGTCATTCTTTTTCTAATACCTTTAGGTGAAAGGTTATGTTACTTATTTCAGATTTTCTCTTGTTTCTTTAGGTAGGCCTCCATTGCTCTATACTTCCCTCTTAGATCTGCTTTTACTGCATCCCAAAGAGTTTCAACTATTTTGTTTTCATTTTCATTTATTTCCATGTATTTTTTTAATTTTTTAAAATTATTTTTTTTTAATTTCTTCTTTGGTTCCTGGTTGACTCATTCATTGTTTAGTAGAATGTTGTTTAACTTCCATGTATTTGTGATACTTCCAAATTTTTTCCTATGATCGACTTCTATTTTCGTTGTGTTGTGGTCTGAAAATATGCATGGTGTGCTCTCAACCAATCTTTCTATACTTGTTGAGGCCTGATTTGTGACCTAATATGTGATCTCTTCTGGAGAATAGCCATGCACATTCAAAAATAATGTATATTCTGCTGTTTTAGACTCAAATGTTGTGGATATTTCTATTCAGTCCATCTGGTCCAGTGTGTGATCCAAAGCCATCACTTTCTTGTTTATTTTCTGTGTAGATCATCTGTCCACTGATGCAAATGTGATGTTAAAGTCCCTACCATTATTATAATATTCTCAGTGTGTTCCTTTATGTTATTAATTATATATTTGGGTGTTCCCATGTTGGGTGCATAAATATTTATAATTATTAGATGTTCTTGTTGGATTATCCCATTTATTATTATATAGTGCCTTTATCTCTTGTTACAGTCTTTGTTTTAGTATATTTTATATGATTTAAGTATTGCTCCTCTGGCTTTTTTTTTGATATCTCTTTGTCTGATAAATGTTTCTCCATCTGCTCACTTTCAATCTGGAGAGGTCTTTAGGTATAAAATACATCTATTAGGCAGCAAATAGATGTGTTTTTTTTTTCCCTTTCTGACACCCTGTGTCTTTTGACTGGAGCATTTAGTCCATTTAAATTCAAAGTAGTTTTTGATAGATATGTATTTATTGCCATTTTATTACTTGATTTTTCATTGTTTCTGGTGATTTTTTCTGATCCTTTTTGCCTCTGTCATTTTGGTCTTTCCTTTCCACTCAAAGAGTTCTCTGTAGTATTTCTTTCAGGGCTGCTTTAGTGTTCATGAACTCCTTTAGTGTTTGTATGGGAAATTCTTTACTTCTCTTTCTATTCCTAATGATAGCCTTGCTGGATAGGGTATTCTAGGTTTCAGATTTTTCCTGTTGAGCACTCTGACTGTATCATGCCCTTCCTTCTAGCTTGACAAATTTCTGTGGAGAGACCTGCAGTTAGCATTATGGGTCTTCTCTTGTTTGTTAAGGATTTTTTTTGGGGGGGGCATTATATATTGCAAATTTAATTACAATATGCCTTGGTTTGGGCCTGATTTTGTTGTTTTGTTGAGAATTCTCTGTGCCTCCTGGGTCTGGGTGTCTGTTTCCTTCCTCACTTTAGAGAATTATTTAGCTATTATTTTTTTCAAATAATTTTCTGCCCCTTATCTCTCTCTTCTTCTCTGGGATTCCTATAATACAAATGTTATTACATTTGATGTAGTCACTGAGTTCCTTAAGTCTGTTCTTGTGTTCCATAGTTCTTCTTTCTCTCCTTTGTTCAGCTTCATGATTTTCCATAATTTTGTCTTCTTGGTCACTAATTCATTCTTCTGTTTCTTGCAGCCTTCTCTTCTTTGCATCAAGCCTGTTTCCAATCCCATTTATTGCATTCTTCATTTCTGATTGATTCTTTTTTTTTTAACTCTTTTATCTCTGTGGTAAGGGTCTCTCAGATGTCTTCCATTCTTTTCTCAGGTTAAGTGAGTATCCTTATGAATGTCGCCTTAAATTCTCCATTGTCCATATTATTTATATGTGTTTGGCTTAGATCTCTGACCATGGCCTTATCTGTTTTTTCATTTGATATAAATTCCTCCATCTTTGCATATTGTGTAATTATCTGCCTTCTCTTCTGTTAAAAAACTCAGTTATGTCTCCTGCTCCTGAAAGTAATAGCTTTATGAGGGATAGGTGGTGTAGTGTTCCGGGCCCAGTGTTTCAGGCAGTGTCTCTGGTGTGTGCTGCATGTGCTCTGCCATTGTGTTTTAGCTGGACTATCCTTCAGACCAATCATCTAAAGAGGCTCCCCTTGTCTGCTGTGGGCAGTTCCTGGCCTACATGGGGTGAGTTCTAACTAGCTGTTCTCTGGTCTGCTTGTGAAATGAGACCTGACACCACTTACATGAGAACTGAGGCCCTTCAGAACTCTCTGGTTGGGAGACATGGCATAGCCAAGGATTTGTGCTTGTCTTTTGAGGGTGAGGACAGTCATACTGGGAATGAGGCAAGTTTGACTGAGGAAGATAATATCCCACCAGAGAGCAGGGGTGTGGGGCTTGGTGTAAGCAAGTTAGTAGCCAGTATTGGTGCTGAATTCCTTCCTGCAGGTGCCTCTGTGTTTATGCTAAGGAAAGGGTGAGGGAAATGGCATTAGCCGGCTCCTTGGTTCCTTAAGAGGGGTCTCTGTGAATGTTATCTCTCAGGGATGCAGTCTGAGAAGAGTGAATAATGTCCCCATTGTGTGCCCCAGTTGTTCTTCAAGTCATATTTCCACACCGTCTGCCCCCAGGTTGTTTGCCGGGCTTCTGTCCAGGAGCAAGGAAGTGCCCTCAGGCTTCTATCCCAGCCAAGCTTGTTAACCTTTAAAACTCTAGGGTTTATGCCCCACTTGTTGCAAGAAATCGGAAAATTCACCCCCTCTCATTTTCTAAGGCAATAGCTTTGGGGAAAAGTTCTCCTTGTGCATTCCCCTGTATGGTGTTTGCTCCTCTCTCTCTTGCCCTTCACCTTGACCACAGCTCTGTCTCCTTTGTAGCCCCCATGATTTGTTTCTCCCCTAAACCATGTCTTTGCCCTTCATAGCTTCTTCAGTGTGGTGTCTTCTCTCCTTTAGTCATGGGTTTATATTTCTGGTAGATTTCAAGTTGGTTTCTGGGTTATTTAGGATGATTTAATAGTTATCTAATTGTGTTCAAGTGTTGAGAAAAGCCTAGGGTCCTCTTACTCTGCCACTATCTTCCCTCCTCTCCAATTCCTAATTGATATTTTCAACAACAAAGATTGTTGTTGTTGTTGTTGTTGGGGTTATTGGTGTGTGTGTGTGTTTCTATCCCAGAGCATTTGGTATTTTTGTATGCTAAAGCCCAGTGATCACAGAAGCAGCATGTGGTCTGTGATGCTCAAACCCTGCTCCCATCTGTGCTATCAGGGTAAAGGATAACATAAACCAGACTCAAAGAAATTCCTGTGTGATTTGGTGGAGTTCCAGGGCTGGATCTTCTATATCCTAGTTGGACTGTTAAACTGTAGCTCTTTTATGTGCCCCAGAACATGGGGCTGGGATGGGGTAGGGGCTGGCATGGGCTAGGGGTCTGTGGACTGCTGGGCCAAGCCACCTATGTTTCCTAGCCCATGTTCCTGATGCAGTATTAAGATGGACGTTGGGGGAGAAAAAGTGCTGCTCATTAGTCCCTCCAACCTGGAGAGAGTTCCAGTAGTTCCCCCATTTTTGGCAGGATTCTAAGGCTGTTTCCTTTATATTGTAGTTACCCTTTCAAACTACAGCAATATTTTGTGCTCCAGAGCAAAGAAATCTGCTCAAGCCCCTCAGTACCAACCTTCCTCACTGCAATTTACAGCACTGTGTTCAAGGTTCCCTTTATATCTGTGTCTCCATCTATCTTGCCATTCTCTATGTGTTTTCTATCTTTTTCTTGTATAGAAGCTGCTCAGTCAGCCATCAGTTCTTTTTCACCAAGACTTGTTCTATAAATTCGGTGTGTAGTTTTGGGTGTCCATGGAAAAGTGAGTTCAGAGTCCTCCTACATCACTATTTTTGACCAGACTGATATCGAAAAATTTTGATATTCTCCTTTTATATTATTTTCTTTTTATTTAATTCATTTGTTAGCTGGGCTAACTCCAGGGGAAATATCAATCAAATAGTTATATAATTCATTATTAGTAATGTGTATTTAAACGTTGTACATATAATCATTTTTTCTTAAAACAGATAGCTTTGGTCTATTTGTATATTTCTTAAAAATAAAACTAAATTAAACCTGTAACTGTACAATAAGTTGTAAGACTGATTTACCAATGAACCTGTATACTCAAACTAAAGGATGAACATTTATTCATTTATTTGGGATGCATTTATTGAGAAAATATCATGCATCAAGATACCTATATAATAAGAACATGGCAGGTGCAATACAGGTGTGACTTTAGGATATTTGGGAAAACAAAATGAGTTTTACCCATTTTTATTAAAAACTACCTAGCCTCTAGGTGGTCAGGCATATATACCTCTCAATCAAGGTATTGACATTTAAAGATAATATGAACCAGGGCACCTGGGTAGCTCTGTCTGTTGAGCATCTGACTCTTGCTTTCAGCTCAGGTTGTGATCTCAGGGTTGTGGGATTGAGTTCTGAGTGGGGCTCCATGGTCAGCTGGAAGTCTGCTTGAGATTCCCTCCATCTCCTTCTGCCCCGCCCCTGCTCATGCTCTCTTTCTCTCTCTCTCTCCTTTTCTCTGAAAGAAATAAATCAATCTTTAAAAAATTAAATAAAAATATTAACCAACAGACTTAGAATCACTGTGTTTGATGAATGTTAATCTTTCTCTCACATTGAATCCTACCCTCTAAATAATTAACATCAACACTTGTGGAAACAAAGGGTAGCATTTAAAAGCTATTTTCCAGATTAATTGTAGCAAAATGACAAAGTCGACAGCTCCAAGTTCTCATTTCCATACAAAAATATCAAAACAAAAAAGAAGTGATCAGAACCATTTTGTCAGAACTCTGAATGATAACAAAAAGTTACAGCAGGTAAGCAGACACTGAATCAAGCAAAAGACCCTTCCAACGGTAGGAAGATTTTGTGGCAATTGTAGTTGCCCTCAACTTACCCTGTCTCTGCTTTTGGAAGTATCTTGATTTTGAAGCAGCAGCAGTCTGTATTAGAAGTTTGGAGCCCATTTCCCTGAATTTGGAGGGAATAGAACAGACATAATTAATAAATTATTGTGTATATCTATTCTAGACTGTGTGACAGTTATTTGACAGACTGATATAAGATGTTATCTTGCTTTTGCCTAACTCAGAACTGAGAGCAAAAGCGCACTAGCATTTCTAAAAAGCAATACAAGCTGAACTAATAACTTTTAGAGGACTGGGAAAAACATGATGGTCAAAGCAAACAATAGACTGTCTGAGGGAAAATCTGGGGACAGTTTGTTTGTTTGTTTGTTTTGAAACTAGGACATTCCTAAACAGCTATATACATGTCAAAAGCAAGACTCACTCAGAAGAGACTTAAGAAAATTCTAATGTTTCATCTTGAGTATTCTCTAGGCTCAGTGAAAGCCTGCCTAGGTGTTCATAGAAAGCCATGGCACAAAACCAATCAGCAAACATTAGAAGATATATTTGCCTTTCTTTTTTTGTTTCTTTGCTTGGTTTTTCTGTTTTCTTTTTATTATATATTTAGTTCCTGGTATTCAAGTAAATCTCTGTTTAAATAGCTAGCTAAATACAAGTTAAGGAACAGGGATTTCATCGACCATGCATGACAAAGAACAATCTTTGTAAAGATAATGTTGGAAAGTAACTAAACAAATGGACTACTACAGCTTTCCATAGTAACAACAAAAAGAACATCAACAAACAGGAAAAAGCAACATCTGGGGAAGTGAAAGATGCTGATATACAGAATTACCACATTATATAATTTAAATGTCCAATTTTCAACCATGACCAAGATAACTACAAGTCTTATAAAGAAACAGAAATATATGGCCCATTCAAGGAAACACAATAAGTTAAAAATATATATATCCTGAAGAAGAGCTGCCCATTAACTTACTAAACAAAGACTTTAAAACACGTTTTTAAATATGATCAAAGAACTAATGGAACTATGACCAAAAGAACAAAAACAAAACAAAACAACCACACACAGACATGCACACCAAAACCAAAACAAAACACTAAAGAAACCAGGAAAGTTCTATGAACAAAATGAGAATTTTAATAAAAATACAAAAAGTATAATAATAAAGGAAACAAAACATGTAAATTTATCTTTCTCTCTCCTTCCCCCTCTCTCTTTATAGATAGATATGGATATAGATACATATATAATCTATCACCTATCAATCTATAACCTATTGATTCTGTTTCCCAGGAGAACCTGAAGTAATACAGATTTTGTTACTAAGAGTAGCTCTATAGAGAAATAATTTTAAGGATGAGTTGGTTCTGAATAGATTTAAAGATTAGTGGTTCTACTTCCAGTAGTAAAGTGAGCACTGATAGTTCATGGTTTTCACTGTTAATAGAGATAGGCAAAATATCTTCCTTGGTTATACCTAATCAACCACTTATTAGAAACAAGTATTTGGATGACTGTATATCATGTTTTTCAAAACATTTTTTTGGAAAACTAACAATATAATGATGTTGTCTGGTTGTTCCCAATGTCGCTGGACAAAGTGATGGAAGAAAGGGACAAGCTCAGGGATTAGAATTCCAAGCTCAAGTGCCACATAAATGACTTAAGGACTTGCATGTGTACCTTGAAGGAGTCCCTTATTTCCTGTAGCAGCAGGGTTGACATTGTTAAAAATCAAACCCAGAACCTCGTCCTGTGACAGGGAGAATTACAACAGAAGTTAAACTCCAGGAAATCTACTCTTAAAGTGACAACATTGATCAGGGGAAAATGGGATTCTATAAGTTGGAAAGGGGTGTGTGGGGAGACCTTGGTGAACCTAGGGATATTTGGTCCCTAAATTCTGATTAATCTTTTTTTACCAATAGAAGAAATTTCCTCATGCCCAGCAGATTTGTCCTCCTCACTTCCAGTAGACATGTCCTGCCTACCCACGACAGAAGTGCCCTTCACACCCCCAGTGGCAGTACCATCCCCCCACTCAGTGGCATCTGTCTTCCACCTCCATCTGTGGGAGATGACTCTGTATTGCTTAAGTGTATACCAATGGCATCCTCTGGGGGCAATTGCTTTGCAAGATAATGTTGATTCTCCTCAGGACCTATCATGCCTCTTTGCTTCTAGACCTCTAATTAGACTTGTGGCCCAGCAGAGCCTTAAAGTTGATGTACAAAGTATACCCCATGGGGAGGCATGCTACACTCCAAAGGAACTACTTGAGTTTTCTAATTCAGACAAGCAAAATTTTGTGTAATATGAGTGGGAAAGGATATCAGGGTGTGGAATAATTGTAGAAGGAACATAAAATTGGATCAGGTCAACTTTATTGATATGAACAAACCAAATTTATTGATATGAAATTCTGCATTTAATGTTGCAACTCTAGACGTCAGAAAGCACTTTGTTTGGTTGGATGAAACAGACAAAAAATGTGAGTGAATTGGATGTGCCAAACATGCCTTGTTTTAATATGAAGCAAGGAGTTCAAAGATTTAGGGAGATTAGAATATTAGAATGAACTTGTCTTTTAAGACATACTCACCCATACTAACAGGGTCAGGAAGACATACCTTACATCACAAGTCTGAACAATAAATTTGTGAGAAGAGCCCCTTTATGGGCATGTTTGAACAGTTCTGTGATCACTCCTCATAGGTCAGAATCCACAGTGGTAATTGCAGTCACTTACTTGAAAATGTTAAATGCAGTGGGAGCATTGAGACCTCAGGGTGGCAAGGGTCAAGTGGAGGGACTCAATCTCCAAAGGCAAAGTGGGTGTGGCTACTATATTGGAGCAATTAGAACAGTCTGACTCTTGCAGACTTATGGCATTGACTATTTAATCATGGCATTCCTAGAATTAAAATCAACTGGAGGCTTACTAAATTCTCCCTTGATATATATAAGCAGAAATGTTCTAGGTCAAGTAAACAAAAGTCTAAGTTAAATCATAAAAAGAAAGTGTCACCATCCTTCAGTCAATTTCTAAATTGGAGCCTGTTTACAGACCAGAAGTCCTTAAATAAGGGCAATTTGGGTTCCTTTAAGGATGAATCCCAGTATACTACTGAAAACTGATACTGTCAAACTTTGTCACAGCCTTTCCCAAAGGGATCTAAGACTTTTACCAGGATAAATGTACATTGCAGAAAAGAAAATCATCAGACTTTTTAGGACAATTACACAGAGGGTCTGAACCTACACTAATTCCAGGAGACCAAAAGTGTCACTGTGTCCCATCAGAGTACTGCAAAGCAACTTGTACAACCTGGACATAGTTCTGTGTCCCACATAAAATTAGCAGCTTTTTGAATCTGTGAATGAGAGGGAATAACATACAAAAATGGGGAATACATTGTCTACCAAATTCAAAAGGGACCACTGAGTGTTGTGCTTCTTTCTTGATTGTAGTAGGGTCCAGAAGCAACAGCTCTAGAAGAAATATCTCAACATGTCCCCACCTACTGAACACTTAGAAATTTCTAGAAAGGCCCTGAATTTTAGTCAAAATTTCCTCAACCCCTATCTTAGCCATAAGTATAGAATAGTTGTTATATTTTTCTCACTAGGCCCAATCAACATTTTATCAATGTTATGGACCAGTGTGACATTTCATGGAAGGGAAAGGTGATAAATAACCTTTATTTTTTAAAGATTATTTGTTTAAGTAATCTCTACAACCAATGTGGGAACCAAAGTCATGACCCCAAGGTAAGAGTTGCATACTCTTCTGACTGAGCCAGCCAGGCACCCCTAAATAACCTTTAGATAATTAGGTACAGTTAGGTGGCATTACTCACAGGACTGGAACAAATTTCTCCTAAAGATTGTGTATGCTCTAAATTAACATTCAATGCATAGAACTGTTTTTCTGATCTCATTCATAAATCTAGGAACCAAAGGGATGGAAATCTGAGTGGCAGCATTCACAGTTACTTATGGTGAACCATAAGCAATATTTTAATTTTTAGTTCTCATGACTTTATGCTCTATTTGGCTAGAAGACTTTGTTCCAAAGAGAGGAATGTTTCTATTGGTAGACCCAACAATAATTGCACTGAGCTGGAAGTTAAGAATGCCACTTGGTGGGGTACCTGGGTGGCTCAGTCCCTTAAGCATCTGCCTTCAGCTCAGGTCATGATCTCAGGGTACTGGGATTGAGCCCTATGTTGGGCTCCCTGCTCAGCAGGCAGTCTGCTTCTCCCTCTGCCCTTCCCCCTGATTGACCTCTCTCTCTCTCTCTCTCTCAAATGGATAAATAAAATCTTAAAAAAGAATGCCATCTGGCCACTTGAGACTCTTTGAGTCAACAAGCAAAAAAAGTAATTACAGTGTTGGCTGGGGTGATTGACCTTGACTACCAGCATACATTGGACTATGACACTACAATGGAGGTAAAGAATACATTTGGAATACAGAACATCCTTTTGGTTGTCACTTAGTATTACTGAGACCTGTGATTAAGATCAATGGAAAGCTAGGGAGCCTGGGTGGCTCAGTTAGTTAAGCGACTGCCTTCGGCTCAGGTCATGATCCTGGAGTCCCTGGATCGAGTCCCACATCGGGCTCCCTGCTCAGCAGGGAGTCTGCTTCTCCCTCTGACCCTCTTCCCTCTCGTGCTCTCTATCTCTCATTCTCTCTCTCTCAAATAAATAAATAAAATCTTTAAAAAAAAAAAAAAAGATCAATGGAAAGCTACAAGAACCCAATTGAAGCAGGGCTACTATTCAAGCAGGACTACTTATGGCCCAGACCCATCAGAAATGAGCTTTCAGGTCACTTAATAGGTAAAGAATCACGATCAGCTGAGGTGTCTGTTGAAGACAAAAGGAATACAGAATAGGTAGTAGAAGAAAGTAATTATAAGTACCAGCTATAACCACATGGGTAATTACATACATGAAGACTATTATTGTCATTAATATTTCCTCATTTGTGATTAATATGTTTTTGTGTATATATGCATATGTTAGGAAAATATATATTTTTCTTTCTTTGCTTTTTTCTTATCATGTAACATAAGATGTGTT